ATGAGAATGAGTTTTAGTAGATGGCACAAAAGATGGGAGCTCTTTAGAGCAGTGCCCATTGTAGTATTTGTAGAAAAGAGAAAGAGAAACAACATTACGACGATGTGATAAAGGTTGACAGTTGGCTGCAAGAGCAGGTCCAACTATGTTTACAATGCGTTTTTGCACCTTGTCTAAAAGAAAAAGGGCATCATTAGAAGATTAACCCCAGATATGGCAGCCGTATTCCATACAAGGCCAGATTTGAGGTTTACAGAGATAGAGAATAGAATCCAGAGTAAGAAAGCGTCAAGCTTGATAAAGAGATGCAACTTTAGCAGATGCTAATTTTGCAACAGATTTGATATATGGTTTCCAAGAAAGATCAGAGGTTAGAGTTAATCCTAGAAGATGAAGGGTAGATGACTCATCAAGTACATTACTCTTCATAAATATAGGAAGATCTAAATTATTGTGATAACGATTGGTTGAAAAAATAGAGTTTTATCTGAATTTTATCTGAAAAAAATAGAGTTTTATCTGAAAGTTCACCAGCCACTGTGAGCCCCATGCTGTAGCAGAAGTGAGATCCTTTTCAAGCTCAAATGCCTCCTCTAAGCAATCAGAGAGAGTTGGCTTCTTATCATGATAAGAATAAATATTATAGTAGTATCATTAGCGAAAAATGCCACCTTAGATGTGAGAATATTTGGAAGATCATTAATATAAATTAAAAAGAGTAAAGAGCCAAGGATTGAACCTTAAGGAACCCCTGAGGTTACAGAATAAGAAGAAGAGTGCTGTCCATCAAGGGCAACTTTTAAAATACGATTGGAAAGGAAGGATTCAAAAATCTTTAAGACGTTTCCAGATACACTATAAGAAGAAAGTTTATGGAGAAGACCAGCATGCCAAACTTTATCAAACGTTTTAGAAATGTTAAGAGCAATGGCCTTAACCTCTCCACCTTTATCTAATGCACAATAAAACCTATTGGTTATTACTGTTAGCAAATCAGTCGTAGAACGAGAAGATCGAAATCCATATTGATGATGAGAAAGTAAGTTATTAGATTCAAGATGAAAGATTAAGTGTTTGTTGATTAAAGATTCAAAAACCTTGCTTATAATAGGAAGAAGACTAATGGGGAGGTAGTTAGACAAATCAGATTTTTTTAAAAGATGCTGCTTTCCAGCAGGCTGGACAACAAGACTCTGATAAGCACTTGTTGAATAGTTTTGAAAAGTTAGATGACAGCTCCAGATAACACTTCTGCAAGACTATAACAGGTATGTTGTCCAGGGCACAAGCTGTAGAAGAGTCAAAGCAGGAAATCACTTTAAATACAGAAGGTTGAGTGATAAGAATGTCAAGCAATGGATTTACTTGTTTGACGACTTTATCAGGTAGAACCCAACTAGTGGAATTAAGAGATGATATTGATGAGAAGTTCTTAGCAAACAATTCAACTTTGTCTTTAGGTGAGGTGACAAAGTCTTAAACATACAAAAGAATGGTGGAATTTCAGACTTGCCCTTATTGTTAATACTATTAACAATTCTCCAGAAGTCACAAGAGCCTCATTTTTGTGATGAAGTACAAGATTTCATAACCTGAAAATAGCGGGTTTTGGGGTTAGACAAAACCTTTTTACAATGGCTGATAGATATGGAAGTAATGGTTTCAATTGGCAATTCCAGCAGCACAATGTGAGGAAAACCATGGAGAAGAGTGAGGCTTGACCTGGAATCAAAGAGAGAAAATAAAGGATTTCATGCCAGCCTGAATTCACGAAGTTATGTAAGAAGCACAATTGTCAACAGGAAGACGAAAGATTTCTACCCAAGTGCCATCATGAAGAAAATCACGGAAAGAGTCCCAGTCAGCTTTAAGGTAGTTGTAAGATGTACGATGATAAGGGGATTCTGATGATAAAAAATAATGAGGTAATAGTTTTAGAGAGATCAAACAATGATCAGAGACACCTAAGGGTGAATTTGGAGAAATTGAGCACTGACTAGGATCAGAAACAAAACATTATTCAAGTAGAGAAGGTAAATAATTTGGGTTGTCTGGAAAGCAAGTTGGAAAGTTGATTATTTAAGTTAGGGATTGAGAAAGGCAAAAGTTGTGGGCTTAAATGCCTTCAGAGTTACTTGCACTTAGAGCCAAGCCATTCAGTGTGATGAGCATTAAAGTCACCGACAACAACAATATTGGCTGATGGATAAAGAGAGATTGTTTATTAGCATTTTGTTAATCTTCTTGCATGTTATGCTTTTTTAGTTAATTTCATATTCATCAAACACATTATGTACTGATTGATTATTTGCAAATGTGTTTCAAATAATTGTTGACAGTCTCTTTAAAAGTGGAGCGTTTGAACCAACCAACTGCTACGAGTCTTGTGAACAAAGTTATTGAATTTACATAAACCTTCTTTTGGCTAATTTTGATTGTATTTGTTAAAGAATTCAATAGTTTAATTTGATTTTTTCTCTTAATTTTGATTGCAGTGAAGTTCAGGTTACACATTATTTCCTTTGTTTTTGACCCAACTTCTTCTGCTTGCTTGCAATTTACCACATCTTAACCTAGTTTGAAATAAAACCAGATGACAATGAGACAAGTTTTTATCATTGAAAAAAAATGGATTTCTGTTTGAAAGCGAGTCATAAAACGTTTTTCAATCACTCGCATCTTGTTTTATTTATGATTGATCAAGATTTACATGTTGCCCACTAGTTGTTATTGTGAATTTCGAAAAGAAATTCATTGCATCGTTGATAGCTGCAGTATGAGGCACACTTTACGCCCACAAGTGCCTAGTGCTCTCTTTCATACCACGTCCTTGTTTTAAGCCTCCTCTGCTCCTAATGGATCCCTTTTTACCAAAAGACGTTGGGTTTAATACTATTTCTTTACAGATAATGCATTCTTTTTTATCTTTATCCATTGTTTCTAGAGAAAAAAAGTTATTATTTAACTTCTGAAGAACAGAATAAACAATCAAGGGAAAGTGTGCATATGAAATTTTTAAATTGACACTTTGTCTTAAAAATTTTATCTTAATTACCTTATGTGTTTCTTGGTTTTAACTTGCTTTTATTCTGTGAACACAAAGTTGCTTTTATTATTATATTTTTTTGTTTAAGAAAAAATAAATAAATAAACACAAACTTTTGAAAATATTCGAATCACTTTTAGATTTGAACAATTTACTCAAATTGTTATTTTTCTGAACATAAATTCCACTAACAATACCCCTCCTTTCTATGAGTTAGCAATGATATTTTAATAGTAATTTTTATTTTGTAATTGTAATTTTAATTTTTGAATTGTTATTTCACTATTTTTAATTTGTCAAAATTTAAAATCAAAATCATCATTAACTAATGCGGTTTAAATTTAAAATCAAAATCATCATTAACTAATGCAGTTGATTTGATTCTGTTATCAAGGCTTAATTTTTTAACAATACTTTGGGTTTCTAAATTAATTATATTTTCCAAATTTTTAGCTTTCTCATAAGAACTATTAATATTGTTACATAAAATTTATTCATAATTTTCTGTTGTGAGTTGGTAAGTGTTATTTATTTGATCAGCGAAAACCAAAATATATGGGTTTAATTTAATTTTTCTAAAAAATGCACACTATGCCTACAAGAAAACTTTGAAATAATTACACATGAGAGCCAAGAATGTTTATTGAACAAAAAATCAATTTTGATTTCTAAAGGCAGGCACAAATATTAGTTTCTCCTAAAAAATATAAAAAATAGTTAGCTCAAATAATAACTACATTAAATCCTCCCTTTAAAAAATACTAAAAAAAAAAAGAGCAGATGTAATCAATTCTGAAGAATTCTTTTTATAATAGTGTCAGTATATTCTGCAAATGTGTGAAATGTTACATTAGACAAAACATTTACGACTTCAATTAATTTAATTTTTGGTATTAATTGAAGTTTTATTAGTTTGATCATTCATTTCTGATGAGTGTTAATTAATGAAACACAGTGTTAAGTGTATTAGATAATCTTTAATAAGTTTTATTTTTACCATTTTATTATTGCCCTGTTCTTTCAGAACAACAAGAACTCTATTTGTAAAATGCACTAACATAATTGATTATATATTATTATTATATATAATTTTATATATTAATATTTATATATATATTATTATTATATATATTGTATATTAATGGTAATGAGGCAATTGCTTAAGTTATTAGGTAGTGTACTGAGTACTATCTGTGCTTTGAGTCAAGTTCTTTAACAAATTTAAAAATGACTTAAAGTACCAAAAACTATAAAACTCCAAAAACTATCTTCATCACCAAGTTCTCTAAATCTATCATTTATTAATATTGTGGTCTTCAAAGCAACTTTTCTTCTGTTGAGTCTTATTTCTTGCAAAGTCTACCAGACCTACTTGCTATCAATATATACAATTATGCTGTTAAAGAATACATCTTTAATTTAATTGGCGATTGTCTGAATACCTATAAATATCTGAATTTTATATTTATAATTATATAGTTTTTTTTTTTTTTTTTTTTTTTTTGCAAGTGCAAAGTTGCAATGAAGGCGTTTGGCACATTAAAACTAAACATTTAATTTTAGTAAAAAACCTAAAAAACACCTTCAATCTACTTACACATATAAACATAAAATTACAGTCAGATGTCAAAGTGTCAAGTATAAGAATGTACAAAAAGTAATTTAAATAGTAAAAAGTCTTTTAATTAAGCAAGGAGGTGTTTAACATATATACCTCATATAAATTTAAATTTACTTAGAAATAAAACATTAAAATGTATGTTTAATACTATGTTAGTTTTCCTAATGTTTACATTATAGTATATAAAACAATTTAAAATGTGTTATAAAAATAATTGAAAACTTTGTGCTACATTGCTTTTTTTCTTTCTTGAAAGTTACTGTAAAAATTTAGAGATATTGTTGCAAAAAAAGTTTAATCACAAAGTGCATAAGTTTTATATTGTGATTTTAGTTATACTGGCAAATTATTGCTTGGATGTTTCAATTATGGTTTTTGTTAGATTCTAATGTGGTTGTCTTTTCCACTGGTATGCTTTTCCAATATTTTTTTTTTTACAGCCGTTAAGGTTTTTTCAAAATTAGTTATAAAAATAGACAATTTAAAATTTGATTAAAGTCCTTAATTTATTATTTTCAAACAAAAAATACAGGGATTATGTTTTTCTGGATATTTCAGGAATTCCGGATTTTTCTCAACTTTTTGATTTTCTGGACAGCCAAAACATTTTCCATACATATACAAGTTTAGGAGTATATTTTTGTAATATGATTGTTTTTTAAGCTTAACATACAAAAAAAAACTGTTAGAAATAAATTTTAATCAAGTCAGTGAGTTTACTAATTAATCAAAAACATAACTTTAATAACACATTTTGTATTTGCAATTGGGAATCTTCTTTAAGGATTGTAATTGAGGATCCCTTTTATAATGTTAACAAAATTACAGAGTAGTAAGAGAAGTAATTTAATAAGTAGTAATGAATAAAACAATGTTATAAGTAGTAAAATAAAATAAAATTGCAAAGTTAAAGTGACGGATTTAATCCATTGTTAAAATACATTGATTAAATATGAAAACATTGAAAGATCATAAATGAATGACATCCAGTCAATATGAATTTTTATAATTAAACATCCAGAATTTAGTATAATATGTATTATTAATGCTGCACATTTAAACAATAGACTAAGTTGTGTGAATTATGTCAGTAATAATTAAAGTCATGTTGCAGTTTTAGTGTTAGTGCAGTGTTAGTCAAGTCTAATATTCAACATCTAGTGTTAGTCAAGTCTAATATTGAATTAGTCAACATCTTCAGAAACTGTTATGCAATTGGTTCAATTGGTTGTTGAATCTTGATTAAGTCAATTCAAGCCATTCTACAATTTTTAGATCATACAGATTTTGTTAGATTCTTTCTTGAACCGGTTTAAGTATTTTTTGAGGTTTAAGTTATTGTTATTTTTTGATTCCATTACAAATTTGACATAGATGTTCATAGCAAGTATATATTGTTTCTAGAGATAAATTACTTAAGTTTTATAGAATTTTGAAGTACAAAAAAATATAAATACCTTAAGTATCATATTTGCATGAAATTATTATGAGAAAAAATAGTGGATATTTTTATTATGTTTGTTTATATTTATAGAATAGATAAAGAAAATGTTTTTTATTTTTATCTTATATGCACAAGTTTCTTCTTTTTCTTATATTTAGACGTATTAGCTAATTATTAGTTCAATTAAGAACAATCAATTTTTGATTCATTTTAAAAATGCTTATATTGTATGACTAATATATGATCAGTAGAATATCCTAAAAATAAATCATACATAGAACTTAAATATATGGAATACTTCATTTGGTATCATTTTATCCATAAGTACAAACAAACAAAAAAATCAAGCCTCTAGCTCAAGTGGAAAGTTATTTAAGTGAATTTAATTTATTTAATATAATAAATAATTTGACTAAATTTTGACAATAAAGTAATTTTAATTGTTATTCCAACAACCAAAACAAAACAAAAACTAATGTCATGCGTCACACAATTAAATTTGGGTGTTTTGAAATCTTTTATTTTAATACAAAATACATAATTAATTTGAGAGATGTATTCATTTTTAAAAGCAAAAAAAAGGACATTTCATTAAATAGTCAACAAAAATAAACCAAATAATAATTTTATATCATAATTATTTATATTATAATAAATTTTAAATATAAACCAATATTGTTAATCAAAAATAATGATAGACTAGATAATTTTAAAATCTTTTTTTGTAGTGTTCTTTGAATTCTTTAGCCAGGTCCTTTAGACTACCTAAATTATAAATACATAAATTTATAAAAAGTATTATTCATACATCAATAACCAGTATTATTAATATTTACTAAAAAATGCTATTTACACTCTATATTGTTTTATAAAATATCTTTGTGTGACTTTGTGTCTTCTCTCAATAAAATCTTGAATTGACTTGATGTGGCCTTCTGCTTAGTCATGAAAGTGTTTTTACACACATTGTAAAACAAAAGTATAAGTATAGTATATGTAAAACATAAGTAAAAGAGTTGGAAACTTTCTTTTCAACCAGATATTTTAACTCTGGGATATTATAAGAAAGCAGCTTGTTTAATGTGTTGGTCTTTAATTAAGTTTTCAGGTCTTAATTAGCAAGAGCAAATTCTTTAAACTTGTGTACTTTTTGTAGTTAAAAAGCAATTTTGAATTTCATTAAATTTTTCAGGGTGCTTGTGAAGCATTATAACTTTTTAGAATAAAGAATCTATGAAAAATTCAATGTAGTTAGTGGTAGTCTTCAGATCACTAAGTTTTCTAACTTTTCTTTTAAATATGTGGTGTCTTTTTTAACTTTCTTTTATAGATGTGATTTCCATGCTTTATTCAAAGAACCGGTCTAATTTGGACATAGAAAAATTAATGTTTAGATCACCTATGTTTTTCCAAGTGTTACTAGGTGTTGCGTCAAAACATATTCTCATAATCTGATCAGACATCTCACAGTATTAAATTTTTTTTTAATAACAATGGCTTCATCATCCCTTAAAGCTTTCAATATCTAAGATGTCCAGGAGGAAGTCTAGTGAACCAAAAACTAGCAAAGATGCGCTAATGGCAATTTTATCCTCATTTTAAGGATAGAATTGCTCATTTTTTATTCATCATCATCATATTCCTTTTTCACTACTAACACACAACAAAGAACACAGCATCTGTATCAAAATTTTGTCCCATAATTTTTCAACTTCTTATTTTATTTAACTTTTTATTTGTTCTATTTTTTATTTTTTTTTATTTTTTATTTTTCATTTTTTATTTTTTTTAATTATCTTCGCTTCCAACAAGGCTGCAAGCAACCACTAATTAGTGTTGGAAGTTACTGGAAGAGAAAAGATGAAGATTGTAGAGCAAGATAACGATTGACAGACGACTTAAAAGATTGCAAATTGTATGAATCAGGAAAGCAAGATGAAGGAAGCGAATTCCAAAGAACTGATGTTCGAGGAAAAAAACTAGACGAATAAGAGTTTTTGTTGCACTTAGGAACAGTAACAGAAAAAGGATGAGACTTAATTGAATGACGAGTAACACAAGAATGGATTTTAGTAGATGTCACAAGAGACGCTAGCTCTTTCGAGCAGTGACCATTATAGTATTTGTAGAAAAGAGAAAGAGAAGCAACATTACGACGATGTGACAGAGGTTGAAGGTTGGCTGCAAGAGCAGATCTAACTATATTTTTGCACCTTGTCTAAAAGAGAAAGGGCATCATTAGAAGTTCCGCCCCAGATATGGCAACAGTATTCCATACAAGGCCGGATTTGAGATTTATAGAGATAGAGAATAGAATCCAGAGTAAGAAAGTGACGAGCTCGATAAAGAGAAGCAACTTTAGCAGATGCTAATTTTGCAACGGATTTGATATAAGGTTTCCAAGAAAGATCAGAAGTAAGAGTTAATCTTAGAAGATGAAGGGTAGGAGACTCAACGAGTACTTTACCATTCATAAATATAGGAAGGTCTAAATTATTGCAATAACGATTGGCCGAAAAAAACAGAGTTTTATCTGAATTACGGTTCACCAGCCACTGTGAGCCCCATGCTGTAGCAGAAGTGAGATCCGTTTCAAGCTCAGATGCCCCCTGCAAGCAATCAGAGGGAGTTGGCTTCTTATCGTGACAAGAATAAATGGTAGATTCATCAGCGAACAATGCCACTTTAGATGTAAGAATATCTGGAAGATCGTTAATGTAAATTAAAAAGAGTATAGGGCTAAGGATTGAACCTTGGGGAACCCCTGATGTTACAGAATAAGAAGAATAGTGCTGTCCATCAAGGACAACTTTTATACTATGATTAGAAAGAAAGGTTTCAATCATCTTAAAGATGTTTCCAGATACACCGTAAGAAGAAAGCTTATGGAGAAGACCAGCATGCCAAACTTTATTAAACGCTTTAGAAATGTCAAGAGCAATGGCCTTAACCTCTCCACCTTTATCTAATGCGTGATAAAATCAATCGTTTATTACTGATAGCAAGTCAGCCGTAGAACGAGAAGATCGAAATCCATATTGATGATCAGAAAGTAGGTTATGAGATTTGAGATGAGAGATTAAGTGTTTGTTAATTAAAGATTCAATAACCTTGCTTATGATAGGAAGAAGACTAATGGGACGGTAGTTAAACAAATTGGATCGCTCTCCAGAATTTTTTAAAATAGGGATAACAGATGCTGCTTTCCAGCAGGCTGGAAAACAAGACTCTGATAAGCACTTGTTAAATAGTTTTGAAAGGATAGACGACAGCTTCGAAGAGCACTTCTGCAAGACTATAACAGATATGTTGTCCGTGCTACAAGCTGTAGAAGAGTCTAAGCGGGAACTCACTTAAGATACAGAAGGTGGAGTGATACGAATGTCGAGCAATGGATCAACCTGTTTGACGGCTATATCAGGTAGAATGCAACTAGTGGCATCAAGAGATGATATTGATGTGAGAAAAACCATGGAGAAGGATTCCATGCCAGCCTGAATCAACGAAGCTATGTAAGAAGCACATTTGTCAACAGGGAGATGAAAAATTTCTACCCAGGGGCCATCACGAAGAAAATCACGGAAAGAGTCCCAGTCAGCTTTAAAGTAGTTGTAAGATGTATGATGATAGGGAGATTCTGATGGTAAAGAAGAATGAGATAATAGTTTTAGAGAGACCTAACCATGATCAGAAGCACCTAAGGGTGAGTGTGAAGAAACTGAGCACTGACTAGGATCAGAAACAAGACATAAGTCGAGTAGAGAAAGTAAATGATTCGGGTTGTCTGGAAAGCGAGTTGGAAAGTTGACTATTTGAGTTAGGGATTGAGAAAGACAAAAGTTGTGGGCCATAATGTCTGCAGAGTCACTGACACTAGAGCCGTGCCATTCAGTGTGATGAACATTAAAGTCACCGACAACTATAATATTGGCTGATGGATAAAGAATGAGGGCATGGTCAATATAATCAAAAATAACATCAAGAAGAGTGCAGTCTTGGGATGAGGGAGAGCGATATAGAACAAAGAGAAAGGTGATAGAGTGAAGTGGGGCTAAACGAAAGCACATAAAAAAGTAGTCTGTGGATTCAAACCTAGTTTCCCGACAAATGGGTGAATTCTTACAAATGTAAATGCCAAGGCCAATCATGTGACTATTGGAGTCTTTACGAATTAAAGGAAGATAACCATCAACACTAAGATCACAAGATGAGACAGCTGAACTCAAATTAGTCTCACAAAGAGCAAGCAGGTCTGGTGAACTTTGCAAGAGATAAGACTCAACAGAAGAAAAGTTACTTCGAAGACCACGAATATTGGTGAATGATGAACTTGGTGATGACTGTGGTTTTTTGTGTTTTATAGTTTTTGTTACTTCATTCATTTTTAAATTTGTTAAAGAACTTGACTCGAAACATAGATAGTACTCAGTACACTGTTTTATAGCTCAAACAATTGCCTCATTTCCACTAATAAACCCTAAGCCGTAACAAGGGGCTCCAATGTGGCCTTGGCAATGCACACCAAAAGTACAAACAGGGACACCATCCATGCGCAACATGGCACTGTTAGTACTCTGATATTTTTCAGCTGTTGATGGAATCAGCGTCTCTGAGAGCTACCACAGAGTTCGGGGAACCTGACTACCAGCCGGCCTCAGAACCATAAAACTGAGTTTTAGAGCTGTACCCTCATTTGGAGATAATAGAATGAGTTGCCTAGTCATAAAAACAGAGACACAGGCAAAACCCATGAATCGAGTCAAGAAGATCCAGCGTCCAACATCCTAAACTGGAAACAATGTATTAAAAATACATCTGTGTCAGCCTAATAGATGAAAAAAGGGTGCGAGGCTGGTCAACAGATAGAATCTGTTTGCCCCTTAAGTCTTTGCCTAGGAGGCCTTCTACAAGACAGCAGTCGGATACATTTAACATCTGCCCAAGATGAGTATTTTTATCGAAACACCATCTCTAGCCTTTACTCGACCAAGAGCCCCAAGGCAGGGGGTGTTTTTTGTTGGAGTTTGCATCTCCTAGCCTTTGCCTAAAAAGGCATATCCTACATGGCAGCAGGACATGAAGCAGATTGTACTGGGTTACATATTACCAGTAGCAGGATAAACCTGACCTGACATTATTTTATTTGATTTATAAAAATTTCAATATTTTATTTTCAGTCTCTAGTTTTAACTTTATTTCAAAATGCTTGAATAATTTTAGATTTACACTGCATGGCATTTACAAGCTTTTTCGTTTAATTTATGCAAGATTTTTTTATAGGTAAAGGTTGTTTTAACCCATAAGTTCCAACTTTTTTAACTATTTTTTGTGATAGGCAAGGAAAATAAATGGAAAACACCTCAGTAAATGCAATTCTCTTAATGGTATTTTGATAATTACGCTAATTAATATATTTTGAATAAAGTATTTTTTAAATATTTTGATATTTTGACTAAAGTTAAATACATACTTCATTAATTTTTATTGTTTATTGCTTTTGTTGAAACATAAGTTAAAGTTGACAGATGTTGGGACGTTGGCGTAGATTAAAATCAATTTTATGTAAAAGTTTATTTTATTAAAATAAAAGTAAGTTTAGCTAAACAACCTTCTGCTTGAGCTAATTTTTGTTTTGTTTGTATTTAAAGACGTTTATTAAAATTCAATGTATATATTTTCGGAATACCCAGGAAGATATTTAAATGTATTTGATGAATAAATTCAGACCAATTAATGAGCTCTGTAGAACACTAAAAAACTATTATTTTTTTAAAGATCCACTTTTGTGTTTGGTTACATTGGAATGAATTTAACTATTTGTGAATTTTGTCTTCAATTTCTTTTATTTTTCTTTATGTCTTTCATTAAAATTTTAAATAGTTAATAGAAAAAAGATTTTGATGAAAGATTATGTCTATTTGATTTTTGTTTGCATTTGAGATCTTTCAAAACTTTATTAATTTGGATTATTTGATTTAATTGAGCTTAGATTAGAAAGGTTAGTAACTTAACTGGATAAAATGTGCTCCTAATCTCCTAATTTTGAGAAGGTTGTCTAAGCTTAATACAAGACTTGGCATTATTTTTTGTGTGTGTGTGTGCCTATTAGTAGGTTCAATCAATAGTTGGCAGAGAAAAAAACTGGTTTAGTCTGTAGCACGTTCTTTCTCACATTCTTTCTTGTTTTCAAACCATTCTACATGAATTGTACAATGGTTTGAAAACAAGAAACAAGTCTGCTGACACGCCCTAAGTGTGTATAACAAAAGATTACTGGCAGGAGTTAATTTAACTCAAATTTGGCAGATCAAGAATTTTTTCAAAAAAGCTCCCCCTCCTCTACCTTCTAGTATTTCATTATAAATCATTATTTTTTATTCAAAAAAGTATTGATTCATAGTGAAATCAAAAGGTTCAAAATGTTCCCCAAATCGCTTTATAAATAGAATATCTTACAAATATAAAATGTATATTTCATTAGAAACTTAATTTAATATTGGATGATAAAACAAGGTGGGATAGTATTTTTGTAATTCTAAAAAAATTGCCTAAAATAAAAGCACATACAATAAAAGCAATGATTGGTTTTAATGAAATTAAAAATATTTCTACAGAAAAGAATGAAACAGCTATTTTGCTACTATTAATAAAAATTAAAAGACTTGCTGAAGTAATGCTGCTTGATACAAAAGCTGTATCCATATTTATCTTAGATGATTTGACAGGAGAAAAATAATGATGTTTTGTTTTAAAATTTGCTTTATGTTGTTGTATAAATGTAGTTACAAATAAAAAAGTAAATGTTTTAGTTTTTTTGTAGGTTTTATTTAGTGTAAAAACCACTTACTGTTGAAAAATACCCAATAAAACTGGACAGTCATAAACATATGCTATTGCTACTACCTTAAAAAAATGCATTTTTCCAGTAAAAGTTGTTAATATATTGTTTGACATAATTGCCTAAAATGCTGTATGAAAAAATGAGGCATACATTAACCTTCTAAATTTTATCTATAACATTTAACATTTATCATATTCTTTAACATTTCTAAAGTTTATCTATAACTATAACATTTCTTGTGAGTCAATGTCTTTAATACAATAGATTTTGTGCCCAATAATTTACATTCCAAGTTCATACAAAAGCAAAAGTTAAGCAAAATTTAAAATGCAGAATATTAAAAACTTAATGTCTTTAAATATATAATATAATATAACTAAATATGTTTAATATTTTTAATAATGCTATTTTTTAAACAAGGTCCAAAAATATATTTAAAAGTAGTTGAACTTGCTCTAGCTGTTAAGAATGAGCCTCTTTTCCATCTTTGTAAGATTGCATCTCTATCTTTATTCTACTAATACTATTTTAGTCACTGCACAAGCAATCATCACTTGTTTCATCAACCAAAACTCAACCTTGCATGACTTGTTAATCTGTCTCTAATTTACTACAGCTATTCCTTTGATGTTCCTAAAATCTTTTGTTCCTCTAAATTTTTACCCGGGGTATAAATGCTTTAAAATCCTTTCTTGCAATTTTTTTTTTTTTTTTCAAGTTAACTGTCAACTGTTTTCTCGCTCCTGATCCCTTTTCTTGCTTTATGTACTTATATAAATTTATGTTTTCCTTTATGTATTTGCTTAAATAAGTGTTTGCAGCTTTTTTGGGAGTATATAAAGATCAGAACATATTCCTATGTCAGCAGAAGATTTTATAGTTATAGTAATGTACAGATATAGCTTTTTTTAAACTTTTGTTATAAATTTAATAAATTTTTTTTTTTAATTCAAATCAAACCATTACATAAATTATTTTATAATTATTATTACGCTTGTATGCTTTACTTTAGATTTAAATGCTAACTGTGGAAATTATACTAATTTTACCAGTTTATCTGGAAAAATTCGTTTCCCGTCAATTGGAGAATATTACTCAAATAATATTGAATGCAAATGGGTGATTGATGTTGCTCCTAACATACTTAGAGTTGAAATCAATGATATAGATATGGAAATTGAAAGAGCCTGTAAATTTGATTACGTTGCTTTTTTTAAAAATTCTTCATACCAAAATGAAATTATTCGATATTGTTCAAATAAAAGCATAGTTTTGTTTGGCGATACAGGTATACTGTATATTAAAGTAGTGACTGATAGTAGTGTTATTCGGTCTGGTTTTAATCTAACTTGGAACAGCACAGCAATAGAAAATTTAGTTTTTGGTATGTAATTTTGTTTAACGGGATCCCCAACTGCCATGGTAAGTTGTGTTCATGTCAAAAACAATGTTTAAAAAAAACATTTGAGCTGAATTTTTTTGATTGAAACCAAATAATGAACGCATACCAACAAAATTAAAATTATAATTTTAGTCGAAGCTCATCTTCTTCATTTTTTTTTGGTTCTCAGAGTTATAAAATTAAACAAATATATATATATATATATATATATATATATATATATATATATATATATATATATATATATATATATATATATATATATATATATATATATATATACTATATATATATATATATATATATATATATATATATATATATATATATATATATATATATATATATATATATATATACATATATATATATATATATATATATATATATATATATATATATATATATATATATATATATATATATATATATATATATTTATTTATTTATATTTGTAATTTTTTTTTTACTTGCTTCATTATTACTTTGTTTTAGAAGCCAGCCAAAATTATGTCAGAATTTTACATATTTTGTGATTATAAGAGTTTGCAGGCAGAAAAAAAATAAAGGCAGTATGATGCGGTTTCTCGTTTTATATTTAGTTCATATGGTTTAATAGAGTTGTTCGTTTAATGTTTAATTTACATTTAGTTATGGTTTAACTCTTTCACTACCGCAAGCTTCTGGTAGAGGCTTTCGAGTATGCTTTACAATTTTTTTTTTATTCAATTCTCTACATAAGAAAAAATAAGAGCTATATTGTGTAATTATAAAAAAGTTATCACTTGACAAAGTTAAAAAAAACTTCTTTAAATTTATAAAGTTTCTTTAAATTTTATAACTAATTTATAAAATATAAAATAAAACAGCGTTAACACTGTAAATATAACTTGTATAAGTTACCAAAGTCTTTTGAAGAAAGAATATTATTTTTATTCATTAAATGAGTTTTGTTTCGGACTTAATGTTTTAGTTATTATTTATAAGAACAATAGTTTTAAGCACTTTGTATTTCTTATTGTTTAATGATGTGTGTTAAAAACTTATTTAATTAAAAAGTACTTTTGTTTAGCTTCAATTGATATTTTATGCTTTTAAAGAGATTTACTATTCGGATTTTAATTAATTGTCAATGTTATGCCATTCAAATTTTATTCAAAAAAATGTGCGGTCACTACAAAAAGATTTTTGTTTGGCTGGTAGCAAACGAGTTAATGCAATTTCTTTGTTTTTATACATATATTATAACTTTTTTTTTGTAATTTTTAGTAAAAATATTTGTTTTAACTTTAATTTAGTTTGATTTGTATAATTATCAAAAAAATAATTTGTTTAATATTTATTTTCTACTAAGTTCAGTTTATATGTTTTATTCAAGTCACTGGTTTTTTATTCAGTTAATACTTTAAATTAATTTATACGCCTTTGTAAAATTATTCTTTTAGTATCTTGTTTATATTGTTTGTATTTTTTAAACCAGTACGATTTACTGCAAATATTCGTAATATATTAAATTTTTATTTTTATAAATTTTATAAATTTAATTTTTAATTGTTATGAATTAAACACACATAATAAATTATCAAGTCTGCAGATTGCGGCTATCATTATACAGACTTTGAGAATCAAAGAAATTGGAGATGGTGTGCGTCAACTAAAATGTGAATTTTAAAATTAATGTTGTGCATTCATTATTTAGTTTTAATCAAAAAAATTCAGCCGAAATTTTTTTTAAACATTTTCTTTAATATGAACACAACTTGTCTTTGCAGTTAGAAATCCCTTTAACAAATTTGATTATTATTAGTTTTTTTTGTTTTGTTTTTGTTTTTTAAGTTTTAAAAATTCAAGAAATTTAGTTTTTTCACCAATTATTTAAAAGTAAAAAATAAAATTATAAAACTTGTTATTTTGAATAAGCTAATATAAAATGAAAGTAGATGTCTAATAATTTATGAAAGTAGATGTCTAATAATTTATGAAAGTAGATGTCTAATAATTAATTAGTTTAGGAAAGATAATCTTTGAACTTTAAATAGTTTTATCAAAAGTTATTATTTTCCATTTTTAAATTAAATTAATACACTTAACTATGTATTTGGTTTTTTTAATATTCATCTATTAAATATTTTATTTAACTATATGTATGTTTTTTTTTTTTAAATTTTCACAAAAGTAAAAATTGAATTTTTGTCATTTAATAAAGAAAACGTATTTGCATGGTGTTTTTAATTTTGTAAAAGCATTTTATAAAATATAATGTCTACTATTTTTTATTATGATTATTAATTTATGAAAATAATCAATATAATTTAAAAAAGTTTCTATTATGATAAAATAAAAGTTAAAGTGTGTATATAATACCTGGTTTTTACATGGAATATGCACCTTTGTGTTAAAACTTATGCAATTTCAATTTTTATTGGATAACTTTGAACAAAAGTTGCGTTTAAACAAAAGTAAGTCTTAGCTAGTGAAAAATTTATTTTTATTTTCTTCGCTATAAAATACTTTGCTAATAAATTTGTAAACTGAATTTAAATACCAATTAAAATAAAAAATTGTAACAAGAAGTAACAAACTAATAAATAAATGAATCATAAACTAGTAAACAAATAAATTAAAATTATTAAACTTCTTTAGAAATCTCCCAAATATAGCCGAATTTTATCATACAAAGTTGGCTTTACTTTAGTTATCTTTTGGGAATTTTCATTAAATAAAATTGGCTGCTCAGTCGTTGTAGAAGCAGTTTGTATATAGGCATCAAAAAACTTAGATGATTGTATCATCTTTGCAAATAGTTTAGCAAAATTTAGCTATATTACTTTGACAGAAAATAAGAAAGTATTATGGGTTTGGAAAAAATTACAATAATGGAATAACTGATGTATTAAATTTTTAATCAGGTTTTTGCAATTTATAAAGCAATCACAAATAACATTGAACTTAGGTGTCAGCATGACACTCATTATAATTGGCTTAAAAAATACCATCGATTACAAAAATTCCTTGTAGTAATATAGTTAAATATCCAAACCATTTTGAAATCAAGGTTCAATTTAGAAATATTTGGGAAATGTCTTGAAAAATTTTAAATATAAATTACAGGTGAAACCAGTGACAGAAACCACTGAGACAGTGGGTTAGCAAAAAAAGAACTGTAAGCTTTACATTAGGTGTCCAAGAGATATTATATATTAGCTCATTCAAAAGTACAAGGCAGCCCATTTACTTGCAGATGTCAATAAATATATTGAAAAAAAAAAAGATCTGTTAAATGTCAAAAAGGATTGATGAATGGGATGTTTATTTTAATAATAATTAAAAAGTAGTAGATCATTGCATCAAAGATCCACTTTATTTAAAATCATAATTGTTAATAAAAATACAAAATAATCATCATCTTATGTATATATATCTTATGTCTTATGTATGTCTGATATCTTCAGAAGAATAAGCCATAATTTAAAGTTTCTACTTAACTTGGAAAGTCCTCACAACAATCCAGAATCCCATATAATGACTTTTTTTTTAATTGTTAAGGTGGTTCAAGAAGAACTAAATGTCTTATCACAAAGAAGAATGTGAAAGCAATTTTAACTTTAAATTAGGAAGAAGAGCCAACATTGAACCTCAGACCTTTTGATTCTGAGAAAGAACTAATTTATTGAATTTAGGACAAATACAAAATTTAGGTAAATAATCAGAAAGAGAAGCTGTCAAATATCCTGAAATAATTTTATTAGTTATTAAATTAGATAAAATATTATCCATGATTATAGTAGAGTAAACGGTAATTATAGTTGGCAAAGTGATAAAAGGGCAAATATTATAAAAAGAAAATAAGTTTAAAAAAGTTGACATTACATTTTCATTATTTGATTGTATCAGATCAATATTATAATCACCATGTAAGAAAACAGATTTATTTTCAGCAGATATTTTTTGAAGTAGGACAGATGTTATTAATAACATTGATACTTGAGCAAGGGTGTCAATTATTGCAACCAACAAATCATTTTGACTTTAATAAAATTGTTACAAATATTAAAAATATTGTTTTCATAAGTTTTGAAATTACTCTAAAATATTTTAAAACACAATGAAACAAATTGTTTAATAATAACTTGTTGACAGTTATACTTATTGCGTTATTAAATGAAGGAATTGCTTTAGTAGGAACTGTGCTGCCTGTTGCTTGCTTATTAAACCTAGTAATTGTAGTTATTGTTTTATAGTTTAACTATACTCTCTGTGTCCATAACTAATCTCACTATGTGCATAATTTTAAATGAAAATAAAATAAAAGTATGAGGTTCAGCTAAAGTATTAAGTTGCCAATTTAATTAGGTTGAGCTAAATACAGTAAATGTTAAGAATTAAAGCTCTAACAACTTGAGTCAGAAGATGAAAAAAAAAAAAGAGAGTATAGGGCAAAAAAAAAAGAGGATATAGGGTAATTCCACGTCAGAAGAAAAATATAAACTCAATATAAATATTTAAGTTATGTCATCTATGATTATTAAAAAGTATTCTGTGGCTCACTGATATTTCATTTATTAAAAATATATAATAACAATAAAATTTAAATTTGTAACTATAGGCTAATTGGGTGAGCGGAATACATCTCTTTCCAACATAATTTTATTTTTTCAAGTGTTATATTTTATAATGTGGGTCTTACTCTTCCTTTTTTTCTTTAACACAAGGTCGTTATCACTCTTATTTGTTGTTTTATAATTGTTCTGTATTTTGTAGGTGGATTTAAAATTGTTGATATTCCTACAGAAGATGAAAATTGATCAAACATATTAGGAATTTTTAAATAGCGTTTTCATCTTTATATTGTTTATCTATATATTGATATTGTTTATCTAATTGCTTTGTTTGGCTTAAATTATATGCTTATGAACTGTATTAGATGTAAAAATCATTTATTAAACGGATAAGAAGTTTTATGTATTAAGAAATTGTTAAAAATATATTTCAATTTTTAGTTTCTCCCAAAATCAAAAATGAAACTTATTTTTCCGAGATAGCTTATTATGCTGAAAAATCCAATACAACATTTAAATGCGAAGCAAGTGGTACACCAGCTCCATTTGTTTATTGGGACTATCCTGAAAATTCATATGAAAACTGTATATTTATTGAAAATGGATTTTATTTATCTTATTTAAAAATCATCAATTGTCTAGACTCTTTATCTAAAACATTTACATGTCATGCAACAAGTATAACTGGAACAGATGAAAAAATGGTGGATCTTAAATTGTCAGGTATGAGATGTTTATAAATTTTAATTTGCTATTTTGTTATAAACACTAAAAGTCTTATTAAATTTAGTTTAAGGTGTAGAATCTATAAGAATAAAGTTTAACAATTTATTTAACGATTTAACAATTATCATTGTTCTAATTATCATAATTTTTATTTTAAAAACAAGCAAAATAATTTCTGTTTAAAATATTGGTGTTTTTTCAATTTTTCTGGTTTATCATTTAATTAAATATTAAAGTTAAATGTTATTAATATTATTTGTAATATTATTTACCAAAGTTTTTCATGAATTTTAAATATATTTAAATTTAGTAACCTTTTAAATTAAAATAACAGTTTAACAATGTAAATTGAAAAATTAAAAAAAACAACAAAATTAAAAATTTTTTATTTTTTTCTTATAGTTTAGTTAAGTTTAAGTATATGTCTAACATATTACTAACATATATATTTTTTTTTATTTAGTTTTTTTCTTTCCTTTTTATGTCTTTTAACTGAAAATAATTTTTTTTTTATTGTTACCATATTTGCTATGTAAAAGTTATTGCTGCACCAAAAAAATAAATTATTTATTCTCTGGTCATAAATGCTGTTATTTATGTAATTTTATTTGTACCTGATAAAAAAAATAATCTGCTAAAATAATGAAGTTTATTTGTCAATTTAATTTGTTAACTGCATAAAATACACCTTAATGCAACTAGTCGAAATTCTTTCATATACAATTATTTTATGAAACAATGTGTGGAAAATACTTGAATGTTATCAGTCTCTACTTATTTTCAAAATACACAAGTATTTTGTAAAAAAAAAAAAAAAAAAAAAAAAAATATATATATATATATATATATATATATATATATATATATATATATATATATATATATATATATATATATATATATATATATATATGAAGACCACACGGGTAAAACCACAGATGTCCACTTTTTGAAAATTTTGAAAAGGGCAACTTTGAAACAACCACTGTTGTCCAATGTTTACTTGGTAAAAAACGCATTAGTCCCAGTTATTTATAATTAAGCCAATAGTAATAAAGCAATAAATCATGTGACCAACGTTTTTCTTTAAAAAAATATGGCGGCGGCTAGTCTGAACAACCCTAATGTCACAAAAAAACCTAAGAAAAAAGCAATAAATGGAAGAAAAAGAGATTTTACTAGAGATCTGAAATTAAAAAGTCATGTTATAGGAAAACCATGTAACTGTGTTAGTTTGAAGTGTTTTGAAGTTACAACCGAAGATGACAGAATAAAAGTTATATCATATTTCAATAACTTGAAAACAAAGGATGAGCAGAATTTGTATATTTCTTCACTTATTTCTGTTCATGGCATTAAGCGTTGACAAAGCAGAAATTTAATAATAAAACAATCTAAATTTCATAGTTATTCATATAAGTACCACTTGAACATTGTTAGAGATACGATAGAGAATTTGTGTGTGTATCAAAGCATTCATATCTATGCTTGGTTTGACAGAAAATCTTGTAAGACGAATCAAAGAATTTTTTTCAGTCACAGGTATGTACAAAAAAAATTATATTTATGTATATATGTATATATATATATATATATATATATATATATATATATATATATATATATATATATATATATATATATATATATATATATATCTTTACAAACAATAGGGTAATAAAATAATAAGATGTTTTTATTTAGATTTTTGTGACACAAACTTTGTCTTGTCATGATGTTTTAATTATTTTCTTTTCAATTATTAGGTCTACCTTGTAAAGACATGAGAGGACGTCATAAAAACAGAAAGCATGCTTTTTCTGCTGAAAACACTAATATGATAGTGAACCATATCAAATCATTTCGAGGACGATCTTCTCATTATGCTCGAACAAAATCTACTAGACTTTACCTTCCAGAAGACTTAAATATTTTAAAAATGTACTGCATGTTTAAAGAAAAGTATCCTTTAGAAAAGTGTGCCTATGAAAGTTATCGTAAAATTTTTAATTCAAAGTTTAACATTTCATTTGGATATCCTCGAAAAGACACTTGCTCATTTTGTGATTTAACAAAGAAAAAGATAACTGCAATAGATTGTCAAGTACCTAGTGACTCTGTTGCTGCAAATGATTTGTTATATAAGAAAAATGCTTTAAATGCATCTCTTGAACTTCATCAGAGAAAGGCTGAAATGTTTTACCAAAGAAAAAGAACTGCACGTTTACAAGCTCAGCAAACTTTGGAATGTTCAGCAATCTGCTTTGATTTTCAAAAAAATCTGAAATGCCCAAACATTTCAACTCAAGATGTATACTATTCCAGGCAACTGTCATTTTACTCTTTCAACATTCATATTCTTTCTTCTCAAAAAGTACATTTTTATTGCTATGATGAAACCGTTGGCAACAAAAGCTCAGATGATGTATGTTCTATGCTTCATGATTTTTTTACGTTTCATTTACCTGAAAATGTAAAGCATATCAAATTGTTTTGTGATTCTTGTGAATCTTGTGCAGGACAAAATAAAAACAGGACAGTTTTGCGTTTCTTTTATTATCTAGTTCATAAAGTAGAAAGATTTGACAGCGTAACTCTTTCATACCCTATTAGAGGTCATTCCTACATGGAATGTGACAGAGATATGGCTATTATTAATCAAAAGTCTCCAGCAGAAACACCAGAAGATTGGAGGAGTGTTTTTCGGGCATCTCGAAAAATACCAGAGCCTTTCAACATTATAAACATGGCGCAAGAAAAGTTTTTGAAGTTTACAGAGTTTTTAAAGCCATACTTTTTAGTTGTTTGTCCATTTAAGACATGTCCCATCAGAGAAGTTGAAATATCAAAGGCTCATTCTA